GTGCGTCTCCTCGGGTCACAACACCTCCCGGTGTTTATAAGGGAAACAAATTCAAGGTATGTCTGCACTGTTAGGCTTTGTATGAGCGGTACAAATGTTGTACAGATAGTCGTTATTTTATTTGCATATTCTCTCACTTATCTCTAAAATGTTACATTTTGAACACAGCTGTTTTACATAGCATAAAAAGTAGGCTAGTAGTTTTCTTCTTTGACACAGTGCTGATGACTCATGAAAAAACATAAAATACACTTTTACTGAATGACAATATTAATTATTTGGTCACTTTAAAAGGTGTAAACTAATGTAACTGTGGTGGATTTCATCGAGCACTCGGTGCTCGACATTGTTTAACTGCTGCTGATTGGTTGCTCATGTTTTGATTGGTTATGCCTGTGTGTTGGATCCCTGAGTAAGACAGTAAAAGAGTTCACCGCTTGAGGACAAGCCTGGTCTCCGTGTGTTATTACAGAACAGCGTTGATTAATGAGGTACTCACCCTACATTTATAGCAATACATTACTGCAACAGTAAAGAACACAACAGTAACATTGGTAAAGAAACCGTTTACTTATCTAAAAATGGCTTAATCACAGTGTAAAATACTGTTACCACGTTTGGATCAGTCCATGTTGAGTAATTTCAGGCCTATTTCTAAGTTACCTTTTATCTCGAAGATTTTAGAAAAAGTGGTCTATGCGCAGGTGAAATCCTTTTTAGATGACAATAATTTATTGGAGGCTTATCAGTCTGGTTTTAAACTCATGCATAGTACAGAGTCAGCCTTACTAAAGGTTGTTAATAGGGGTCACCGAACTTTCGGCCACCGAAAACTTTCGGCCGAAAAGGCCATTTCTAACCTGTGCTGCCTCGCCCAGCACAGGTTAGGTTTCACTCACGCTGGAGCTGTTATATCACGCGTCTCCCCATCAATGACAAAGCATGTCAGCGGTATGGAAGCATTTTGAAGTTTCAGGTGAGGACACCAAAGTTGCAATATGCAACATTTGTTCTGTGAAAATATCAAGAGGAGGTACGGTGCCAAAGAACTTTTCGACAACAGGCTTGATACACCACCTGAAAACACATCCAATTGAATATGAGGAGTACCGCAAAACAGCATTGGTTAAAATTGCCCCAACTACATCACAAATACCCTTGGTCGCCACATTCTTTGAGAAGACTGAGAAATTTGCAGATGATAGTCCCAAAGCATGTGGCATTACTGAGAAAGTAACGGAATTCATTGCCTTAGACGACCAGCCGTTTTCTATCGTGGAGGAAATTGGATTTCGTAGGCTCATAACATATTGAACCGCGTTATACACTGCCAAGCAGACGCTATTTTGCAGAAACATGTCTACCTGAAATGTATGACCGAGTTGCAAAACGCGTCCACGAGCTCATTACCACGGACATACCAAGTCTAAGTTTTACCACAGACATTTGGATCAGGCTTTTATTATATATTCTCAAGTTTCATTCAATATATTCAGCTTTTCAATATCAGCTTTTATTTCCTGAATGGCTTGCCATAACATACATACACAATTATAGAGTAAGCGTGTTTTAAAAATTTGAAATTTTTAAAAGAAGCCATTTTCGGTTTCGTTTCGGTTTTCGGCCAAGTGCATCCTAAATTTTCGGTTTCGGCCCAGAATTTTCATTTCGGTGCATCACTAGTTGTTAATGATATTTATTTGGCCACTGATGCAGGGGAGTATGTGATTCTTGTCGTGTTGGACTTGACTGGTGCCTTTGACATGGTGGACCATGACATTTTGATATCTCACCTTCAAGATTTAGTGGGCATTCGTGGTGCTGCCCTAGCATGGTTTCAGTCATATTTATCGGGTAGATCAGTGTCTGTCGGGCTGGCAGATGTGGAATCTGTGACAACCCCTTTGTTATCTGGGGTTCCACAGGGCTCCATTTTGGGGCCTTTGCTTTTTTCTTTGTATTTACTTCCCCTTGGCTCTATTTTTAGGAAACATGGGGTCTCTTTTCACTGCTATGCTGAGGATGTCCAGATTATTATGCCACTGACTAAAAAGGACACCTACTCGATCAAACCGCTTTTAGCATGTCTTGCCGATATTAGGGCCTGGATGTCATTACATTGCTTGAAGTTAAATGAGGCTAAAACTGAGGTTATAGTGTTTGGCCAGAATACGTCTGGCGACCCTCTTCCTGTAGACTTAGGCTTTTTGGGGCAGTATGTGCGATC